TTTTTTTTTTTTTTGTTTTTATTCTTTAAATAATATCTTTTATAGGAGAATTAACTTGTTTTCAAGCTTATGATCCAGATGAAGGTAATAATGGACGTATTATTTATTCATTTGATCATTTTGATGATAAATTAATACAGTTTTTATATTTAAATAATGAAACTGGTTGTTTATTTATAATTCAATCATTATTATTAACATCAATTGATTTAATACCATTATTACAATTAAATAATCATTTATTATTAACAATACGTGCACAAGATTGTGGTTCACGTATGAGTTCAACATTACCAGTATATCATCCATTAGAATTAATTATTGAAGATATTAATGATCATAAACCAAATATTCAAGTTAGACAAATTATTTCATCAATCGATATTATTAAAAATAATTCGAAAATAAATGTTATGGAAAATACAATTGGACTTTTAGCTATGATTACTGTTGATGATATTGATCAAGGAATTTATGGACAAGTTCAATTAACTTTAATTGTACAAACATCAATTAAAAAACATCGACAAGCTTTTCAACTTAAACCAACATCAATGAAACATTATAAAGTAAAAAAAAAAAAAAATTCATTTTTTCTTTTATTATCACTACCAATCGAAATACTATTAATCATAATACATTTATTCTTTTTTTTTATTTTTTGTGTTTTGATATTTAGATCGAATTAATAAATCCATTAGATTATGAACTTGAATCATCTATTATTTTATTTCTTGATGCAATTGATGGTGGTGGTGAACATTCACGTTTTATAATAAATATTATAATTGATGATACAAATGATATGCCACCACATTTTGAACATGATCATTATCATTTTATAACAAATATTCAATCGTCATCATCATCATCATCAATATTATCATCGGATTTAACAATTGTTGGTCAAGTTCATGCTATTGATCCTGATATATCAACAAATTCACTTATATATTCATTAAATTCAAATTTATTTCATATAGATTCTGAAACAGGTCAAATTAGTTTAAATCAACCATTATCAATAAATATGACTGATCAAACAATAACATTTAATGTAACTGTATCCGATGGTGAACATATTGATCAAACACATGTTATTATATCAATTGAAGGTCTTAATCATCGACCAGAATTTGAAAAAAATCATTATATTTTTCAAATAAATGAAAATGTACCTGTACGTACAATTGTTGGACAAATTATTGGTAAAGATAAAGATTTACCTGGTACAAGACGTGGTGAATTAACATATACACTTCGTTCAATAACACCTTATTCAGAATTCTTTTTTCATACAAGTCATACAGGACAAGTTCTTGTTACGAGAATACCTGATGCTGAACAACAACAAATACATCAATTTATTATAACTGTTAGAGATCATGGTGAGTTTTTAGATAAAGTTTGTTTTTTTTTTTTTTGATATTCAAATCTTAACAATAATTATTATTTTTTTGTAAAATAGTAAAACATTTCTATCGAATAAACGAAAGAAATAAATAGACTTAGAGCTCATATTTTGCTTACAAGTAGATCTCAATGTCAATAACCAAAGCCTAAAAGGATTCGTATCCATGGACTGTTAAAGCCGACTTATAATCGTTTCACTAGATTTTCGACTTCAGGCAAAACATTCATGAGTAAAACCAAACGATAGTATGAAATTTTGCTCATGAAGAGGTCTCATGCTTATTAGAATGTCATAAAGATTCCAGCTAAAACGGATGTTTTATCGCTGATATACTGAATTTCAATTTTCTGACTTTTCTCTGACATATAACCATTTTTTAGCTATCCAATATCTTAAGGATAAATCATCCATTTTAGCTGAAATTTTTAGGACATTCTAATAACCATGAGACCTCTTCATAGGCAAAATTTTATACCATCGTTTGGTTTTTCCATGAATGCCTTGTCTGAAGTCGAAAACACAGTGAAATGATCATAAGTTAGCTTCAACAGTCTATGGGCACGAATCCTTTTAGACTTTGGCTATTGGCATTGTGGTCTACTTGTGAACAAAATATGAGTTTTAAATCGAGGGAAATACTTCGGCTACTTTCCTTGTGAGTTCAAAAGGGAGAAATCTCCGCTGATATATAAGTCTGATTATTCCAGTGGATAGATAGAATCGATGCTATTCTAAATAAGTCAGATCGATTCGATCGACAACTTATTAATGTATATGAGCTGTTTAGGTCATGAATGATTTTATTCATCCAATTATTCATATTGACTGTCTAGTTTTAGCTTGGACAACATATGGAATAACGTCCGGAAAAAGATCTATCTATAGTTGAAAAATCAACCAATTTCATGGTCTAGCAATATCATTTATATTTTTTGCTCTGAGTCTTCTTTGATTAAAACTTAATAGCTGCATATATATATATAAATGGATAACATAAAAAAGTTTTTTTTTTTTTTAGGTACACCACCATTATCAAGTGAAGCAAAATTAACAATAAAAGTAAATGATATAAATGAATATTGTCCACATTTAGTTAATTTTTCTTCTGAACCATATATATTTATATCTCGTCAACGTTTTAAAAAAAATTTAGGAGAAATATTTCAATATCGTTTATTTGCATATGATAAAGATATATCAGATCAATCAAATATAACATTTAATTTACTTTCATCAAAATATTCATCAATATTTAAACTTAATTCAAATGGTTTATTAACAATAGATGATCTTCCATTAAAAATTCCATCAATAATTGAACTTGATTATTCATTAACAGATAGATTTTTTCCTGAACCATGTATAAAACAAGGTAAATTAATAATATTAATTGGTGATACATCAATTGATCGGGATTATTTAATAAATGAATATGAAAAACAATTAGAAACATCTCAACATCAACGTTTAATGACACAAAAATTAACAAATAATAAACGTAAAAAACAAGAAATAATTATTATTTTTTTAACATTTAGTTTATCAACATTAATTATATTTCTTGGTGTTTTTTGTCTTTTATTTCTTATTTGTTGTCGAAAACATAAACGACGAAATCGAGAACGATCAATAACAACAAAATCATCATCTTTAATTAATCCATCTTTGTTAGAAGATAGTAAACAACAATCACCACATTCATTTATTACGGATTGTAATGGAAAAAGTTCACTTCTTCCACCATTAAGATAATTTATTAACAATTTATTTGAAGAAAATTTTCTTTTTTTTTTTTTAAATCCGTCCGTCTAACTAGTCAAAACAGACAGACACTCATTAACTTTTAGTTGTTTGCTTCTTTTTTTTTGTTTTGAATGTCTATCTTTTCTTTTTCTGTATTATATTATATATATATATTAATGAAGTATTTGTTAATCGATATCTTGTTTTGTTTTTTTTTTCTTCTTCAATAAATCGACATAAAAAAAATAAAACGATATGTATGTATGAAATGTTGAGTAATCAAAAAGAAAAAGAAAGAATCAATCATTAGTTCAAATTGAATTTTTATTTCATTGTTTACATAAGAGTATAACAATATGTTGCATGCCATTATTAAATACCATTTAAGTATATAATAAGTTTTGTTGTCTTATTATAAATAGTTTCTTTTTTTTATCTTAATTTGTTTTAATGAATTCTGATTATGTAAATGATCGCGTTCTATTTCATCATCTTTTCTGAAAAGTATACATATTTCTCTAATCAAGCTATTCAATTCAAGATATCAAAGTAGATCTTATGTTATTATTATAATACAGGTGTGCTACTGCTACCTTCAAGTATCCACGTACTGTGACAATTTTTAGCAGAGTGCCTAAATAAGTAGCTGTGACATAATGTTACCAGGAGAGTTTATTGTATATCCTACTAGAATTATTTCTATAAATGGATACTCTAAATTCAGCACTTACGATAATATTTTATTGATGATGATTGATTGTACAGGAAAAAGAAAAGGTATTATTGTGGATGTCTATTTTATTGTTTTTGTCTGAAAACATGCATTCCCATTATAGTGATTCTTTGTTTGAAAAAATCGACGAAATTAAGTTTATATGGAAATTGAATAAATACAGCAGATAATAGTTAGTATATTTATTAAATTACAATAAAAATATTACAATTGTTGTATCAAAACAATTGCATCAAACGTTCTGTTTCATTTTGCATTAGCACATTTTCATTGAAATAGGTAAGTAAAGATCATTTTAAAACAAGAAACAAAGTTTTCTATGTGTTTATCCCTTGTTGATAATATTATAAATGATTTCCACAGAGACTTCGTGTCAAAATAATATTTAGTATTAATTCTTGTACTGTTTTCAACCGAAACCAATATTATTTATTAGTATTCTACAAAACAAAAAATATTTCATAATTTGTTTATAGCTATGATAATTATGACTGTAGTGACTAGAAGTTGATAATGGATAATCACAAATACTAATACAAATATGTATTCTATATTCGTATCAATTATGTTAGATCTTCTTCAAAACAAATAATTTTTGTAGGTTTAATTTATTTTGATAATTTAATTTTCTTTTTCAATTGGAATTGAATTATTCATTTGCAGAGATAAATTTTATTATTTAATATTAAAAATAAATGAATCACGGTAACATGAGTTGTAATCAGGAAACTTAGTCACGAATAACTACTAGTGATCACGGATGGTAAATAAAAATTTGAGAACAATATTTATTGGATGATGATTATTATTATTTGCCTTATATAAGCCAAAAAACACAGACTAATTTTTGTACATAATAAAAATTTTATTTCATTGAAAATAAAATAACTAATAGAAACTTTTGATATTGTTTGCTTTGTGAAAGTTTCAAATCTTTTTATAACATACAAAATAAAAATATTCATTTCGACAATCAAATAATGATACTTGATGATAAACATTTAAAACAAATCAAAATCCTACACAATTTCCTTTCTCAACGAATCATTGGATGTTCTTTGAAAAACTCAGAGTGAATCATGACAAGGATTCTTTATGGATTTGTTATAAATGAATCAGTAGGTTCCTATAGAAATTTAATATCAAAAATCAAAATTATTGTAAACTCTCATATACCATTTCGTATTTGTATGAATATCTCATAAGTGAAGAGAGAAATGATTTTTGTTGTATTCTCGATCACAAAAATAGAAAACTATAATTTCTTTTTATCGATTATATTCATCGATGAAATTGTTGTTTTTATTAATCTAAATAAAAAAGAATAGATTTTATTTTATATGATAATACTTACCATTCAAACTATTGTTGAGATTAATTTGAATGAGAAAAAAAAAATAGAATTTAGTTTTTTAAAATTAATACTTATTTCAATTTACTTTTGATTTAGAAATATACAAGTTACGCACTGTCTTAGAAATTCTTCAGAGATCTTTTTATCACTATTTAAACTTTTTGAAAATTGAAAAACTCTACATGTTTCATGGCATATCCGAATGTTTTAACAGTGAGAATCGAATGGGGAATACATGTTTATCAATCGAACAAAGTAAATACATTTTCAAGGGTAAACGAATCGATGAAAACAAACTTAAAACAGAAAGAAAACGAAATGACATGAAAAGGATTATACTTATTTGATTTCAATACACTTTTCAGTTACATTGACATATTCTTCAACTTTTCTTCAAATAAATAACGTCACAGATTGTTGTGAATTAATATAACATCATTCTGTCCATAAACAAATGACTAAAAAAAGATTCATGACAATGGAATTAGCAGAGAGCATTTAAATAGAGCCTTAGCAACTGATTTAATATGACGTCAAACAGAATAGAAAAAAAATCCTACATTGTAAACAAACATACCCTATATAAGCATACCTAGACACTGCTAAAATTTACACACATTCGTTTGATTTTTATACATACATTATCAATAGAAAAAAGATCTTTGATTTTTTTTGCCAATAAATCAAATGCCACAACGCGTATTGTCAAGCAAATTTTTAAATCGATTTAAATCTAAAGTAAGTCTTTGTAATACATATTGACATTTTAACAATCCTAATACAGTTCGTAGAAAATGGTTATCAACTGTTAGATACAAGTGAACATGAAGATTTTATTTTTTCATTATCTTCTTCTGACGACTCTCGAAGAACACCCTGTTATAGTGATATATCATCATCATCATCATCATCAGAACAATGTGAAAATACAAATGACCTTAATAATATGTCAGAAAACGAAGAACAGATTTATTGTAGTCAGGCAAAACGAATTACATCTCAAAATTCTCAAAAAAACTTTGAAATTTTTTATGAAATTCACAATGGTTTTACATTAGACCAAGTATCAATTATTGAAAATGCTTTACAAATTGTTGCTGATAGATTATTTAAACCAGAAATTTTACAAAATATGTATCAAATTTGTGGTAAATCTAACTGTTTCTTAACACGAGAAGTATTATCACAGTCAAATTTAATAGAAAATTCAATTTATTTCAATCAATATTTATTATTACATTATCAATTAATGTGTCTTAAAGTCCAATGTGAAAACGGTGAAATGCCCATCATAAATATTTATCCAATTCATGGAAAAAATCAAAAAGAAAATAACGATTCTTTTCCATGTGTAGCTTGTATTTCTCATGGATCATCATTTATAATTGATGGTGAATTCGAAGTTGAATTAAATCAAGATAAACTTAATGGATCAGTTAAAAACAGTTCCAATGCTTTATTTTGGGCTGGAGAAATTGTTTATGAAATACTTCGGAATTTAGGTCATCGATCCAATGATATTTCTTACAGAAATCGATCACAAATTAATATTTTTAAACAATGTTTTCTACATAATGGAAATTATATTCCTATTAAAAAACAAAAATAAACTTTTAGTGGTTCGAGAATCTAGATAAAATTTTGTTTTTGTTATCAGATAAAATCGCTGATTTTTACTTGTTATCATTGATAATAGGATATTTTAATAAATACATTTATAGTTTCTTGAAGAACGGTCAAAGTATTCAAGATAAACAAAAAGAAAAAGAGATTCATAAAAAATAATCAATCTTTATTATATATTTTTTTGTTTTCAACTGTTCGATTGACAATCACTCACCTGTATTGCGTAGTTAACACAAACATGCTGTTAAAATTCAATAACGTCTCTTTTCGAATTACATTAAACAAAAAAACAAATTGTGTTGTAATTTCTGCTTCGTAAAGAAACATAATTAATTTATAAAATTCTTAGATGTGATGTTGTAAATGAACTGAAAGATGAAAAAA